ACTGGGACATGTGAACTGTGAATGGCAGTAAACAGAGAGGAGGTCACACACTGGGTCTGGACATGTCCTGATAGGACCGGGGGTGGGAACAGGGACAAAACTTCGATGTAGACCAGACTACAGAAACTGGAAGATTCATCTCCCTCCTTTATTCATATTATACTGTGTTTAGCTCTCTGGTCCAGGTACCAGATAGGGTGACCATATTCTCAATCCCCTAAAAGAGGACACAACTACACATGGGCGGAGTCACGGAGTCACATGTAGTTAATTTTGAGAGTTTTTCGGGTCAGGTCGAGTGTTTTTTACACGCTTCTAACTCACTAAGTCCACGTGACACAAACTCAAAACTTTCAAACAAAACCGCGGACATTTGAAGGATTTTATAAACTCCCTGGACAATGCCGAACAGCCCCCCAAAAAGAGGACATGTCCGTGTAAAAGAGGACATATGGTCACCCCAGTGAAAAAGCCGACTCAAACAAGAGGTGGGTCTTAAGCCTCCTCGCAAACGTCAGTTAAGTCAGCTGCGCCTCTTATTCGCCGATCTTGACTTAATAATTCACCAGAACCGTCTTTTGTGGCTCAGTGTGTTTGTGGTTTCTGGTGCTCCTACAGAAAAGCCTCTAGTGGACACTTAGGGATCTACAGAGGGAACTGTCAGAGTTGGACGCTTGGTGCAGATTCAAAAGAGGCCGCGCTGTAATCCTGTACCCCCGATTTCCAACGTAACGTCTACGAAAAAGGTCGTATCCTCCGATTGTAGCTGATCGTAACCATTCAAGTTAACGTGTCAATTTACACCGACTTCTTTCCGTTCCTCTGCGGATCGCCGGACTCCTCAGCTGATCACAAGAGTTCTAGTTTTTCTGGACGCCGGAGCATGGCGGATAAATTCAGCACAGATTAACCCGTGCTGGAAAGGAAGTCGGGCACAGACACAAAATAAAACATTGGAGACGCTGATTCTAGAAGTCTAGAAGTAGATTTCCTCCTCTGGAAGGACACAATCTACTGCTAATATGTCTATGTGTCTGTCTTTAGAGAGACAACTTGTTATCGTGCGATTGAACCTGAATCTGCGGGTTCTTGTGAGTTCTTGTGATTTCTGCTGTCCGTAATCCATCACGAAATTCGCCTCACAAACAGATTTGGAAGGAATTAGCGTATGGCGAAAATTGCGATATCGATATTTCGTTTGTGGTGCTTTCAAGAGCGTTGAGAAATCTAAGCTCTGCGTAGATGTTTGAGTTTTTTGTATGCATGAACAATTGCTCTAGATGTCATGCATTCAGGTTCGTCTCCATGGTTACCTTGCAAAACCCCGTCCCTGCTAAGTTTAAATGCTATTACCACTGAAATCATACAATAAGACCTGCAGAATAAAACGTAGGACCTCCACAAAGATAGAGAGATCTACAACAGATTCTAACTTCACATGTTTGTAGATGTCTGCTTACAGGTAGAAATAGATCATATAGATCACAGCCAGGATGTCCCCATGATAGACAGACTCTCTATTTTTGTGCAAAGTCTGTGAAAAAAAGATCAAATTTCATCGTTTTTGTTTCCGTCAAACATTTTCTCGTGGTGACCCCCTGAGAGCGCCATCATCCGTCACACAAACCAAAACCCCGACCTGCAGACTTGAGGCGTTCAGACATTTATCCACATTAGTGTGAACACGGCCCGGGTGTTTGAGGTCAGAGGGAGCGAAAAAGACGAATGGAGAGGAAGGAGGAGAGCGAGTGAAGTGTGAGGGTTTGATGGATGTGGAGGAGAAGTGAGCGGCTGTTGTTTCTCTGTTAACACCCTCACCTCCGCAGAGCTCATTCAGCTGCCGCCTGTTTCTTATGCCGTGTTTACCCTCTCATTTATTTTTAATCCATCAATGGAGCCTTACAAGCCTCCTCGGAGGTCAGAGAGGAGAGGGAAGGAGTGGGGTGAAGGAAGGTGAAGGAAGGAAGGAAGGAAGAAAGGAAGGAGGAGTCACCTGATGATGAACACACTCACTTCTTCCACTCCATGTTACTTGTGTTTGATTTCTGGTACATTTCCATCCTGTCCTGTTTGTGTGTCTAAATTTAGTCTTCCATTCGCTCATTTCCCCCTCTCCTCTGATTCCTCCTTCGTTCCTCTCCTCCGTCCTTTCCTTTCCTCTGTTTCGCACACTTGTTAGGAACTTGGAAGGACTCGCAGTAAAAACTCTCCTAAATGGAATTGCCGTCACCTCCAATTTAGCTCAAGCACTTTCCGAATCCAATCTCACTTTGGCGTCCTCCCTCTCTTTCTCTTTCTCTAATCCGTTGGAAGTCTCTCGCTCTGAATGTTAAGTGGCTCCGACTCTCCTAACCTTGTAATTCAGTGTTCCTCCTAAAGGCCACATGTTTCACAGGAAAGAGAGCGTTTCTGTCTTTAGGGACACAAGTTTTATTTTGGTGTTGCTGAAAGTTTTCTGGGAAAGCAGCTGATTGATTCTAGGTAAACACATTCAGGCTTCATAATTTAACTCTTGTTAAAACCTCAGAACAACAAAAGGAGACGTTTTGGTGCAGCGGCTCTTAGAGCTCTTAGCGGTTCAGCCTCCCGAAGGACTGCGGTCCGGACTTCAATTTCTTACTTTTTGCAGGACGAGGCGCTTTTCAGTCTCGGTTTTTCAGAGAAATTTCAACCAGAACTAGAGACAAACTTTTGAAACAGAAACAAAAGAGACCCCAAACTTTAAATTTGTCCACAGGGGGCGCCAAAATCCACACAGAGAGGCGGATCTTCACTGTTCCTCTAAAGGAGCAGAAATATTGACACGACTTACAGACAAAAATCTTCTTTGGGGCATAAAAAGTTCAAGCCTCAATTTTTCAAGTTTGTGTGGTCAAAATGACAAAAATAAATATGAAATGAGTCGACATGTCTGAACTAAAGTGTCCAAAAACGTAATTAAATATGACTTTTTTTCTCGTCAGAGATGAAATTATGAGCTTAAATAAATCACAGAAAACTAAATCCAGTTTGATTTTTCTAAATTACATCAGGTGGACTATCAGACATTTAAAGTTCCTGATATTTTCCACCTTAAATCGCAGAAATATGAGCAGAAATCTGAGTAAACAGACTGAGTTAGCCTCCATAAAACTTCGTTATTTTCATTCATAAACTTTTCCTGATGGATGTTGGTGACAAAAACACATCCAGAGGTCAGTTTATGATTGATGTTTGAAGTTTTTAACAGTCCAAAGTTAATTTTGGAGTTAAGAGTTTGGAGGTAAGTTAGGGAGCAGGACATTTCGTCTCATTTCACAATGATAAACGATGAAAAATGATGATGCAGCTGAGAGATTATAGAGAAGGAGAGAAACAGTGACAGGTAAGACAGACGTGTTAGGGGTGTCCTGATGCAACTTTTCTTTATTTTCAATATGAATCTGATATTGTAGCCTTTCTTTATCGGCCAATACTGATATTGATCTGATATTGGCACAAACTTGTGCATGACTAGTTGTGCACTCTGCTGCAACGTCTTTTTCAGACTTTCACGAATAGAGAATTTCCCAGTTTGGGATCAATAAAGTCTATCTATCTATCTGTCTGTCTGTCTGTCTGTCTGTCTGTCTACCTACCTATCTATCTATCTATCTATCTATCTTTCTTTCTTTCTTTCTTTCTTTCTTTCTTTCACAGCCAACATCACTCCTCCTCCTCTCTACTTTTTTAGTACCTTAGTTCACACTGTTGTTGTCACCAGACTCTAGTGGACACTCATGGAACTGCATTTTCTTTTTCTTAACTTAGTTTTATTAAATTTTTAACCATAATAACACGGTGTATACAACTTAATACAACACATTTCTTTTCCCTTTTTCAGCTGTTTGTGTATTTTGACAAACATCTACAGATAATGTCGGATTAAATCTAAGAGAATAATTAAAGTAATCATCACAAATCAACAACGTCGACTCTAAAGTTCAGATTTATAGGCACAGAGTCTAGTCAGAGGCAGGATGACAGTGTTTTAATATGGATATGAAGTACTTACACCGTTAACATAAACTGTTTTTGCATTAATAAAAGTTCCACAGTTCCTATCTTTCAATAAAGGAGGCCCTCTGAGGCCTCAGTCAAAGTATGATCTGCTCCATTTGATAAATATCTATTACTTTTTAAATCCTGATGGTTTTTGGCCCTTTTTTAAAATAAATTATCGTTAAATCAAACTTTTGCAGAAGTCCTTAATTTAGGAGGTTGTGCTCCATAAATTTTCTTTGTACAGTTTGTATGAAGATGTTTTTTTGGGCGTAAAGTAAGTCTCTCTCTCTCTCTCTCTTTTATGAAGGAGATCTTGATGTTGTCTCACAGAAATAGACTTCACACAGGACCGAGTTTTTCATACAGGATATGGTTTATAAAATAAAAGCCACAGCTGCTGATTTAGTCGAACATCCGTCTTTTTATAAATCTGTTTGTTTCTCTTGTTATGAACCTAAAGCTCCTGCAGAAACAAAACTGTCATTCTGCCTCTCCCTCCTCTCATCCTGCACCTCTCCTCCACCCGTCAGCACACTGGCCTCCATTCAGGTGTGCACATGTGCGTGTGAGCGTGTGCGGTTAACAGGGGGGCCATTGACGGCGACGGAGAGGTCAGCTCTATCTTTAACAACATTACTAAGCAGATTTTGTGAACCGGTCCGACCGCATATCCTGTCATTTACTCACACACCCCTGACCTACCTCTTAACCACCACTCGCCTTAGTCAAATAGAAAAACACACACACACTCATCTCAGTAATAGGCCACATGCTAAACAGGTAAAAATAGCCTCTGCTGACACACCAGGACTGTTATAATCCATGACATAATTACTGAGCGGCTCTGTTTTTAACACACTGACGGTCTTCTTCCTTCACTCCTGAGATGAGATGATCCTGTTGAGCCTCTGGTTTCATATTGTGACTATAATTACAGCCTGTCATAACTGCATGTGACCAGATGTGAAGCTCTAATTTTACTCGTGTGCTACCTGCTGACATGCCAACATTTTGCATATGCGGTTAAATACGGCCGCATGTGACAGAGGAGGAGCATTGTTTGCAGGCTCCTCATGACAGTCAGGTGTCTGTGCTCGCCGCACGCGCTCACGGTAGTTTTCCAGGAGAATCGTGCAGACGGGAAAAAGGAGAGTCACCCTAAATACACAACAGGCAACACAGAAACACAAACACGAGAGTCTGCTGTAGTTTTAATTAGACAATTAGTCATCCGGAGGAGGTGTGTGTTTTTGTCTCGTGGAGTCAGAGTAAAGCGGGACTGACCCAAATCAGGATAATTCAGGCGTGGAATTTTACAACTTTTACACACTGAAGACTGACCAGAGAGATGTTAGTATGACACACAGGAAACTTTAGGCCAGTCAGTCAACGACAGGTTAAAGGGATATTCTGTCAGAAATTAATTTAGGGTCAAACCCACCGTAACACAGAGTTAGACCCCCCCCTCCAGAGATGAATGTTGTCGACCGCTTGCTTCTCTAGTTATACCAACTTTAGTAACAACAAGAGACAAGTGCTCAACCAAAACGCCACTCTATAGCCACAAATAATGCTCAGAACAGCACCTAACTTCATCAACAGGACATATAGGGTCACAGACATAGTACTAGACACCAAACATCTTTTTAACTTTGACTCATTTCTTTAGCAAAGAGACTAAACACAACTCACCTACTCTCTTCCAGCAGACGCTTGTTTGTAGTGAGACCTCAGGCCAGTCCATTACAGACTACAGCGGGGTGCCGCAGCTCAAGGAAGAACATTTATGATCATTTCTTCATGGAAATACAATCAGACCGAGACGCTAAGACAGAAGAACTACAGTGTCTGTAAAATGATTAATATGAAGATAATTACTTCAAGGAAATGATAAAGAAATGATCATAAATGTTCTTCCTTGAGCTGCGTCACCCCGCTGTAGTCTGTAATGGACTGGCCTGAGGTCTCACTACAAACAAGCAGCTGCTGGAGGAGAGTAGGTGAGTTGTGTTTTAGAACCTGTTCCCAGTGATTCGATTCCTAAGAATTGTTCGTCTGCCTCCTTAACGATTCTGCTCATCGGTTCCTCTCACGTCTCTTTGCATAATGACGTTGTACGCGAGAAGTAAGTTTTGGTTCAGAACTTTCCAGCATGGCGTCGAAGCAAAAAAACTCCAGAGTTTGGTTGTATTTCATGCAAAAAGACGATACCAGGGCGACTTATAGCACTTGCAAAGCTTTAATTTTGTCGAGGGGGGGAAATACTCCCAAAATGCGGAAACATTTGTCAACCCAGCATGCAATTAATTTGTGGAAGTGTAACGTGTTCGATACGCTACTTAGCGAAGGCGAGACTGGTTCAGGAAAAAGCAGGAGCGGAGCTAACGTCCCGGCGTCACCAGAGTAACATTTAACTCCACCAGGTCTTGTCCATTGTGAAGATGTCAGCGCCATGTTTCAGGATATAAATACTCTCTATCTCCTTAAATTACATTTAGATGACGATGAGAGTCATGCTAGCAGGTAGCTCTTATGCACCTTTGGCGGCCCCATTGAGGCAGGGAAGAATAAAATTACATTATTAGCGCTTGAATATGTCCAAAGGTGAAAATATTAAAGAGTTAATGAGAACAAACCCATTTGTATTCTCTTATTTCTCACTCAATGAGAATCGATAAGGAATCGTATCAATAATGGAATCAGAATCGCTAAATTCTTAACAATCCACATCATCCCTATCTACAGCACAATCACACACACACACACACAAACACACACACTCACAGAGGAGGTCAGGTAGCAGCAGCTGCTCTCACCTCTGTAGAGTTCCTTTCTCTCCGATGCCAAGACCAACATCCTCACCTCAGCAGCTCCTCCTCCTCCTCCTCCTCCTCCTCCTCCTGCTCCTCGGACTCCCTCATGTGTAAACAAGCTTCAAAGTTTCTGGCCTCCTTTAACTGCAGCTCTGCTCTGTTTGACAAGTTCCAACTGCATAAACATGTCCGGCGTTAATGTTTGCAGAGTCCGCAGGTTCCTCTGCAGTCGTTAACCAGCCCTGAACCCGGAGCTCTGCCAGTCAGCACCAGAACGATCTGACCGCTTCACACCTCTGAACTGTTGAACCAGCCAGTAAGAAGAGGAGCGAGCGAGTCAGCCGGCCAACCGAGCGCTTCAGCTCCAGATCAATAAAACATAACCCCGAGTTTGGCTGCACTTCTCAGGATATATTAACTTGGATTTGGGTTTTTGGGCGAGTGCTCAGAAAGTTAAATTTATACGGCTAAGAAAAAGATCTGACTCAGTTAGAAAGGTTTCAAAAGACTCTTTTTTGGAGGATCACTGCGGCGCTGGATGCTCATCTTGTTCTCAGTGTTTGACCCTGATCAAGGTCGCAAACCAAAAGGCTCTTCATCCTTCAAAATGTGACCTTTTCAGACTCTCTCTTTTCTTCCTGAACCTTAAAACTCTTCAGAGGAAGGATCGGCACGTGACAGAAGAAGTCTTAGAGAAAAACTCAGGATGTTATTCAGGACATTTCAGGGACAAACTGTTTCTTTTGAACTGATTCTTTATTAACTCGTTTTTGTTTCTTAATGAAAGGAAAAGTTTCAAATGAAAAATGTGAACTTTTATCAGTGTGACAGAAAGGATGGAAACCTTCAGGATAGTTTTTGTTTTGAGTTCTAATGACCGACTTTTGTTCGGCTGCTCTTTCACAAAGTTTAAGAGTTTCCTCAGTGTGGATTCAAGCATAAAAAGGAAAATGTAACAGGCCACATTAAATGATAAATAATTGTGTCTTCAGTTAGAGTGTAAAGTCCACATTAAAGCAAACTTTTAACTAGTTCAGCTGTAGCTTTAAGTTGCACCGTTTACAGTAAACATCGCCAAAACTAGCTTCAGTGTTTTTGCAGATGACACTTGCACTGTACAGCAGAGCTACAGAGATACGAGTTCCAGGGGCGGATTCAGGGTGTATCCATGGGTGCCCTGGGATGCTCCCCACCCTTCCTGTAATTTTATTACACACTCCTAAATCCTCGGCTCTGATTGGCTGTTTGCCAAGATATATTTTAATTGACTCATAATAATCTGTGACATGATTTAAAATACATTAGAGACTTGACCAGGACTTCCTGCTACATTCAAAGACTCAAGGCTTGACTTGGACTGGCACAAAGGGACTTGTGCCGATCTCTGACTAATGCTAATTAGGGCTGCATAATTTTGGCCAAAAGAAAAATCCTTTTTTTTTCTCTGAAAATTCGATTTTTTATTCAGTGACAACTTCACCAAACTTTAATTTAATAAAAAGTCTTTTTATCATCTCTCAACACAAAACCACTGAAAACAATGTAGTGCATATGCCAAGCCAGTAAGTGGCGCTGTAACACAGAAGAAGAGTACAGAGCATGTGTATAAAGGTTGTTTTGGCGCCATAAAAGAGTTACTCTGTGTGTCACATGATCGTTTCCAGAGATGCAGATAGACATCCACACGGAGATGAAATGGTCGTCGTTTACAGATTTATTCACTCTCTGACCCGTTTTCAAAAAGCGTCACCTGAAACGCCGATACGACAAAAATCTTTAGCGTTTCCTCCTGAATTCATTTCCATGGTGACGGGTTGATACCGCCTTCAGACAGACTTTACAGCGGGGAGTGGTTTACTCTTCATCTGAAACTGTGAAGTCGTACCAATTCAACACGACTGACTCGCTCTTGTCACGAGACACGATGGAGAGGAAAAACGATTTGACGGTTTTACATTTTTTAACATCGTCATAATAAAATAATCCAATTTAAAATCGGTGAATCGTTCAGCCCTAAGCTCAAAGGTGGGAACCAAACCTCCCATAAACTGTTCACCCTCTAAAAATGTCCCGGGCCTGTTTGTTGCTGACAGTATTTCATGTCGACCGTCACTCGAATGAAAATGGAAAAACACGACGGCCCATTTTTCCTCCATTAAATCTGCCAAAATGAAATTAACCTTCAGCTTAATGTGTCACAGCTGCTAAAAACAGAAAAGTCACAAACAGAGAGTCCGACTGTGCTCCGCCATGAGAAATTCCATCTTTTAATTTGATTTTTTTTCAGCGCTGAATGGAAAAACCAGCGTTCGACCTGGGCTGAGAGAGCAGCTGACTGAAGCAGCATGACTAATGGTTTCTTCACTTCTCAGAGTCATCAATCCCAGCCGCCGATCCAGAGCCCGAATCCTCACTGAGCATGCTCCAATCAGGTCCGCAACCCTTCACCAGAGAGTGATTTATTCAGTATTTCTCTATTTATTCATGTTTGCTCTGCCCTCGGAGGAGTCTCCGCCTGCCAGGAAAATCTTACCTTGGGAGTTTTAATGCTTTCTGAACGCTTCGGTTGCACAAGTGTTCCCTTATTTTGGGTAATTATTTTCTCTTTCAAGTTTGGGCTCTGTGTTTTTCTCTGCGAGTTCAGACACGGGTCAGTGTTGGAGATAAAAAAGGAAAGAAAAGAAAAAAGGGTCCGGCTGGAGGAATTTGACTTTCAAATATTTTCCAACTGCTAATTAAAAATAGAAACACAGTTTTGAAAGTAAATGAAGCACATCTGCATTCATGAGTACACAGAGGCCGTCATTAAAACACACACAGCTCAGAGTTTGGATGATACTGCCAGGTTGAATTCACTCTGTTTTTCTGCACTGAAGTAGAATCGTTTCAATGAGACATAAGGAGGAGGTTCAATAGCAAATAAATGTGGTTAAAAAATGTGCAAAATGTGACTCTGACTAACGGCCTGTCACTAAAATGTCCGAGGACAAAGTCACACTTTCATGGAGTGAGATGTGAAGATCAAGATTTGGTCTAATTTTATTTTTTAACTGAAGCAAAACAAGCCGATCAAAAACAACCCGAACGCTGACTCATGTTTTATTTACTCCCACAGACAGAAGAATTAAAGTTCAGTTACTCTCTGATCCGCCAAGACTGCTTCGTGTTGAACAAACGGCGAGCAGCTTCCTGAAGTCGTGTTGTTGTTGTTTTCAGAAGTTCGAGCGGGGTCACGTTTACGCTTGTGTTGTTAGTGAACCCAGGAGACCAGGTTCTGGAGTCTGGAGAGTCATGAGAGGATTTCAGCTGCTCAGCAGTTCAGAGTCTCTTATCATGGTTTTTGTTTCATAATGGGGGACGAGTCAGGACCACATCAGTCCAGGACTCTTCTCCTACAGAGCCATGCTGTTGAAGAATGTGGTTTGAGATCATCTGAAGGTCTTCTCTGATAAAGTCTTTGTCTGGATGGACGCAGATGTTGCTCCAAAACCTGGAGATATTGTTTAAAACCGAGGATGCAGCATCTATGATTTCCTGTTCTACGTTAAAAGGACAACTGGACTTACTTGAGACGTTTCGCCTTAGGCATGAATTTTTACACCCTAGTTTTGAGTTTGTTTGCAGCTAATTTGTCTCTTTGTTTGTGCTCTACTGGGGTCACTTTTTAAATTACTACAATAAAACAATATAAAAAGAATTCAGTTATTTGAAATTATTAACTTAAAGGTGTTGTAGACAGGAATCCGTTAAAGAAGCATCTATTTTAGTGCTGTATTTACAAAAACTCTTCTAATATCAGTCAATAGTTATTAGTTATTGATGACATTTGGTAATATATCGATATCTCTGTGTTCTCTTATGTCTGTGTCGTCAACATTTGAACATTTTTGAGCGGTCCGCTCTTTCTGACTGTAAACAAAGCCGTTCTCCACCTCCTCTAACCTGATTGGTTGTGAGGCAGACGCTGCTCCCCCGTGTCGTTCAGGAGCCCAAACAAAGTTAGCGTGCTACAATATCGGACAGTAGAAACCAACCAGAAAGTTCGGAAAATTGTCTGAATCCTCCTTTGGCCACGACTGCCGACACAAGCAAGAAAACAGTCAAACACGCAAGAAAACAGTCAGCAAGAAAACAGTCAACACCAAACCGGTCAACAGGAAAACGGTCAACACCAAAACAGTCAACAAGAAAACAGTCAGCAAAAAACAGTCAACAAGAAAACAGTCAACCATAAAGAGTCAGCAAGAAAACGTCAACTATAATCAGTCAACAAGAAAACAGTCAACCATAAACAGTCAACACCAAAACAGTCAACAAGAAAACAGTCAGCAAGAAAACAGTCAACAAGAAAACAGTCAGCAAAAAAATGCTGCTCCCCCGTGTCGTTCAGGAGCCCAAACAAAGTTAGCGTGCTACAATATCGGACAGTAGAAACCAACCAGAAAGTTCGGAAAATTGTCTGAATCCTCCTTTGGCCACGACTGCCGACACAAGCAAGAAAACAAAGTAAATACCGGAGACTCTGGAGGAATAACGGGCGCTTAAAACGGAGGTAGACCGGACAAGAGCTAAAAAGCCGGGTCAACATAAACGATGGGGGACGCTTGGGGATCTTGGTGACCCTGTAACCTTTCTGCTGGACAGGTAAACCGCTTTAACAAAGTAAGACAAGTGTCTGTAACAGAAGTGTTTCTTGTCAAACGGACCTGCTGTGGGAAAAACTGCAGTTCCTCGAGTGTCCACTTGAGGCTGGCTGCAAATCCAAAGAAATTGTATTCAGTTCTATATAAAATGCTCCACTTTACAAGAGGACTAACTTTTTATTTTAGCTTCATTCAGAAGGAGAGTTTGAGTTTATAGCTGGATTGTTTCTTTGCGCACGCTATAATCTGTTTGGATTATCAACACGAGCTGAACCTGCAGACAAACATGACGATAAAATGAGGTTAAATTGGGTTAAAAGTTGGATAAAGTTTTGGATTTTTTGTAACTTTTAAGTGATCTTTGCAGCGCTGAATTATATATAAGGTGTTTCATCTGGACTGCACATGCTCAGTGGAGGCCGCTCCCTCTCTCCCTCCCTCTCTCTCTCTCTCTCTCCCTATCTCTCTCTCTCTCTCTCTCCCTCTCTCCCTCTCTCTCTCTCTCTCTCTCTCTCTCTCTCTCTCTCTCTCTCTCTCTCTCTCTCTCTCTCTCTCCCTCTCTCTCTCTCTCTCTCTCTCTCTCTCTCTCTCTCTCTCTCTCTCCCTCTCGACTTCTTTACAGTCGCAGGTGTTCCTCCTCTCATGCCAGCCGACTCAGACCGGCCTTTCACTCCGCTCCTAATTCACACACCCACAGCTGAACTACAACAGCTCCATTCACAGCTCCCAAAAATAACAAGGCCGTACGCTGGCAGGGCGGGGTTCACCTCCACCTCCACCTCCACCCTCCCTCCCTCATCCTTTACTGCTTCCCTTTCATATTCAGTTTTCTTTCACGCTCGATAAATGTTGACTTTATTTGGGTTCTGCTGAATTCCTTAATGAGGCCCTCGACTTCCACGGAGCAGAGCGAAAACCTTAAAAGGAAACGAGTGGCAGGAGGACAGAAACGATCCGATGTTTGACGTACTCTCAAAACTATCCATCCTTCTCTCTTTCTTTATACATTTAAACCTCCTCTCTTTTCACCTTTCCAACCTTCCTCAGTTTTTCATCTATGATCTTATTTTTCACAAAGATTAACTGTCAGGCTTGAAGACAACTTGAGAAAGGTATTTGACAGAGTTGAACTCAGGACACTGAACTCGAGGAACAGGTTGTGTTTTTACAAAGCAAACACTCGACAACAAGAAGCAACAAGAAAAACAGCTTTTTCACAGGCAGAAACCTCGAACAAGACCGGAGTAAACGGTGAATAAACACCTACTGGGGCTAGATTAACCAAAAACGTACAATAGAAGGAGAAAGAGACAGAAATCTGCTCTCTGAGTCTGAAATATCCTGTTTTTTTTTTTTAGAGTAATACGTTTAATAAATCGCTCGTTTGTTGGCATTTCAAAGTGCACAAATGGGAGTTACAATTTTTAAGTTAATTGTGTTTATCATTAAAGGTAAGGTTGACGATTGGAGAGATCGGTAATTATTATGAACCTTGTTTCTATGGCGATCATGGTCCTATAGTGCGATCTCCACAAAGTGAAGAGAAAAAAGAACGGAAAAAATCTGTTCATCCTATCAGCTGCAGGGCCGCAAAAACATTGACCAATGAGAGCCATCCATCCCAGACAGCTCCTATTGGTCAATCTCCTGCTCCATCTCTCCATCCAATCACCTCGCTGTATTCGACACACCCCTCTCCCGTAGTTCCGACTTGTCCCCTCCCAATCTCCAGGCCCTCCTTGGAGCTCTGAGCAGCTAAAAGTAGCGTAGCAGCTTAGCTACAGGAGCTGTGATGGAGAAGGACGCAAAAAAAAAAAACACTTCTGCTCGCCCCACAGCCTCTAGTGGGAAGAAAACGCCGACAGAGGAAAGGGCGGAGTCAAAGAGGACATGTGACCAAGCGAGGAATCTAACGTGAACAAACATCAGGTCATCCTTCGAGCGGTGGAGAAAACTCCATCAGGATTTGGTCCTTAAAAGAGTCCTGACTGGTTGTTGTTTTATCGTCGAGTTTTCCGATACGATACTTTAAATCTCTAAACTCGATTGCCCATTCGAGATATCATGTCTTGGACCTGCGTTCTTCACATTTTTATCAGCCTCCCTCAGTGTTTAGATCTTTAAAGGACACTCACAACCACAAAGGCCTCCATCAGCACCACATCCCACACAACATGAGTCAACATGTCAGACTCTCCGGATCGTCCTCTGGGTGTCATGAATCTTCGCTGTTTGTTAAACGAACCTGGTCAGTTCAGTTCGTGGCGTCCTACCCTAACACCGAGCAGACGAACAGACCGACCAGCTGGCGGGTCAGTCGGTGACAAAGTGATCCCTTGAAGGCTGCTCAGTGAGGACGGACTCGGTGTCTCAGCTGGAACGCTCGCCGTCACGTTCGCAGCCAAACTGCTGACTCAGCTCTGACTCACGTCTGAGCGTGCAGCGACGATAACCGTCTCACGACACGCTGATCCGTCTCAAGGCTCGCTGCTTACTCTGCACACTGATAACACACTCCATCAGTACTATCTTGAGCGTACGGACATCTGCACGCCCGTGTGTGTGTGTGTGTGTGTGTGTGTGTGTGTGTGCATGTCCTATCTTGTCAAGGTCTTCGCAGCGGGCACTGAGACGGACAGCCTTCAGACGAAGGTCCTGACGGAGACGCAGCAGAAGGCGGAGAGGTTTGAACCAGACGCTGATTAAGAAGTGTGAAGTGAAGCAGGAACAGAGAAACCATGCTGACTGGGCGCTAAAACCTTCACTCATTCACGCTGAGTCAGTGTGAGTGGATGAACTTAAGACGTGGCAGACGTTTGGATCATTCAGACCTGGATCTTAAAGGTCGCCACACTGAGACCGAGATTTGTCGTGTTTTTCTGGTCGGAATCAAAACTTTTTGGTCATTTTGGATACGACAAAGAAAAATGGAGACAGTTAAAAGTTCATCGTCTACAGCACATGATGTTATTTAAAGATTTAGAGGATCTCAGTTCACAAAAGACCAAAAACTAGTCCTGAATGACCTTTAGGTGGCACTGCATTAAAAACAGACAGGGTTAGAGTGGGAGTCACCGCATGGACTCAGAATCACGACAAAAACCATCGACTGTGAACACAGTTCATCACTGACACAAACTTTTTCACAAGGATCTACAGTAAAAATTGTAATTTTAAAGTAAAATCTCACTTTTATCTTTGTTTTGTAGCGAACTGTAAATGGACACTGAAGTTTTTTATCACATTTAAGCGTCAGCTTCTTTTTTCACGAGTGGAGGTCGTTTCTTTTATGACCTCTTTGTCCTGAAAAGTAAACAATAACTGCTGCAAGTATAAAAATTTTAGAATTTCAACTTTAAAATTCATTTTTTATGGACGTATGCTCACCTAAAGAACCACTCCTTTAAACAAGGAAAAACAGGAAAGATAAATAAACTGTTTTTCAAACAGAAAATTAATCACGATTTTTAATTTTTATCACGATTAATCGCATTTTGAATTTTAATCTTGATTAATCACATTTTTTATTTTTATTTCAATTAATTGCATTTAAATTTCTAATCAAGACTCATCGCATTTTTAATTTTAATTGATTAATTGCATTTTTAATTTTAATTGATTAATTGCATTTTTAATTTTAATTGATTAATTGCATTTTTATTTTCATCTCCATTAATTGCAATCTAAATTTTAATCTCGATTAATCGCATTTTTTATTTTAATCAAGATTAATCGCATTAAAAGTTTTAATCCTGATAAATTGCATTTAAAAATTTGATCGCGATTAATCGTATTTCGAATTTTGATCACGATTAATCGCATGCTAAAAAATCCATTATTTTGCGTTTCCATCCAGTTTTAATGTTAAACTGAAATTCTTTGCAGTGTCTTGAATTGTGAATCAAATAGGTGTGTAAAAATATATGTTACAATCGTGATATTTAGATTAATTAACCGATTAAAGCCATGCCTCGGTTTGATTTTTGAAGTTCTGCAGTGAGAGTTTATTCAGTTTGCTGCAAATGTTCATCACTTTGGCCCTGTAAACTGACCGCAGCGTCATTATTTTCCATCAGGTTAGCAGTGAAGAAGTGTGGAAGTCGTCTAATAAATAAACAGTATCAGACTTAGTCATAGATCAACACTGACAACCTTAAAAACATCTGATTTTACGGGACTGAAGTGGTTTTCAAAGTCCGGTCTCCAGGGTAATAACGGTTCTTGTTAGAAAGTTGTGAAGTGACCGAGTGAATCTTTACGATAACTTCTCACCAACTTTATATATTCCGACGCTGATATATACAGCAGATACATAAGTTCGATTTAATCCATATGGAGGAGGACATGGAGTCATGCAGAGACATAAATCAGGCGCTGATGATTCAGGCGTATGCAAATACAGTATGGAGATCTTCAGGCGGTGGTATAGGAAGTTAGACATGCATGAGGAATACATTCATTCAAATTCGATGCAAATAAACAGTTTACATATGCACAGAGTGAGTACAGGATTTAACATGAGTGTGTGTGTGTTAAAGTGTATGTACCTGCATACATTAGAAGTGACTCCCCCGGGTGTTCGTGTTTGTGGGACTATTCTGCTTACGGAGCAGCTCTGCAGCCTGACTGAACCTCCTCCTCCTCCACCTCCTCCATCCCTCTCTTCTCTTCATCCTCGGCGGTTCAGAGGGCCCCGTGTCCTCCCTGGCATGCCCGCTGATTCAGTCCTCATCACCACTTATTAGCAGGGTGGTAAATATTCGCTGGGCCGTGCCCGAGGTTGGCACGACGGCCAGCTGCAAACTCATTATCACTTTATTATTCTCTGTGCCTGCCTCTAATTTATTCCCCTGCTGCTGCCACGGCGCTCTGAGCCTGCCTGCTGTGCCTCGAGAGCACGCCCGGACCTCCTCCTCCTCCTCCTCCTCCTCCTCTGCGTCCCCCTCAACTCTCCCCGGCTGTGGGAAAGATTGAGAAAATAGTGCTTATTTGGGAGAGAAGGAGGTGTGGAGGGATGGATGGAGGTGCAGGCAGAGCAGGAGCTCATTACGGTGATGCTGATTTGGGAGAAGGGGAGTCGACCTGCTGCAGGCGGTGACCCTGAAAGCTGGTTATGCAGCAGATAAGTCAGCAGTCGTGTGTTTTTGTAGCGCTGAAGGATGCACACAGATTTCAGTTTCTATGTCCTCTGAACGTGTGAACTCCAGCAGTGACTGTACAGCTGTCAATCAACAGGTAGATTTCATTTCCACATCTCTCTCCGTCAGCAGCAGCAGCAGCAGCAGCCGCTCCTCGCTGGAGCTCAGGGATGATGAGAAGTTGTACAATAATGGCCAGGAGCTGCTCTGCAGGGACAGGAGCAGACCGGCCCAGAAACAAAGACTCAGTCAGGTTAATTATGGAGCAGCTCACTTCAGGCCTTTAAATAATGCAGCGCCCTCTGTCATCGGGGAAATGTTGCCCTGCAATTCTCTTTCAATCAATTTAATTAGAAATAATGCAAAGCAGCAGCAATCAGTGAAACATTTTCAATAACGGAGGCTGAAGGCTGTGCGCTAAATCTGCTGGATGCTGATGAACGCTTAGAGGAGGAGGAGGAGGAGGAGGAGAGGAGATTTATCACCTCACACTTTTAACAAGTAAAAACCAGCTCATGTCACAGATCGTTTCCAAACACTTCCAGAAGTTAAACCACGTCCAGGTTTTCTTTCTGCTCCGGTGGTAACCGTGTGTTTGATTACCTGATGCATCCAACGAGAAAATGTCAAAACAGCGTAATATTGAAACTGCTTCAGCCTCCATGTGTCTGATTTATCCGGGGTCATCTGTATCGTCACTGATGCCTCTGCTCGTCATATATCCATGAAAACAGAGCAGCAGTGCACTCCTCTCACCTCAGGCTTTGGCGTCTCACACATGAGCGTTTGAGGCGCATTATTTCAGCGCGTTAGTCCGACTTTGAGAAGTTCATTTTGCTGGATTTCAGTCAGACTAACCTTGAATTTCCACCACATCCAGAACAGCTCTGATCTGGAACGGCAGCAGTTTTCATCGTCTACCAATTCCTACCGGATCCGTTCATGAGGCCAATTTCGTGGCGAATTACGGACAGCGGTAATCGTGAGAACTCACAAGAACCCGCTGATTCACGTTCAATCGCATGATAACGAGTTGTCTCCATAAAGACAGACACATAGACATATAAGCAGTAGATTGTGTCCTTCCAGAGGAGGAAATCTACTTCTAGACTTCTAGATTCAGCATCTCCTCATCCATGGTGTCATCGGGGTGAAATGACGTCTAAAAACCTTTCACTTGTCTGTTGTTTTATTTTGAAAAGAAACCGGATGTTTTATTTTGTGTATGTGCCCGACTTCCTTTCCAGCACGGGTTAATCTGTGCTGAATTTATCCGCCATGCTCCGGCGTCCAGAAAAAATAGAACTCTTGTGATCAGCTGAGGAGTCCGGTGATCCGCAGAGGAACGGAAAGAAGTCGGTGTAAATTGACACGTTAACTTGAATGGTTACGATCAGCTACGACCGGAGGATACGACCTTTTAGTAGACGTTCCAGATGCGATGGAGTCCAGTTTCAGTTTCAGTCAGAGAAATGTAATAAATCAGTTTTTGGAGCAGCGTGGTCTAAAACTCTGATCTAAAAATGACTCTCAGTTTTATTTTAGCGTCACTCCCTCGTGGCGTCGACTTTTACAACAGGCTGATCATTTCTGAGAATCTCCTCTTCGATGGATTTTTATTTCCCCCTCTCAGAAAACTTCCAAGAACTTCTTCTTTTCCTGACATCTCTTTGAGGTTATTTTGATTTTACGAAGTTCTTAAAAACTTTTTTCTGTGAACTCCGAGTCTTCAGAAAAACACGAGCTCTGAGTTTTGGAAACATCGATAAGTGAACCACGGTTGACAGAAAACTCCACCCTGTGATTGATGAACAATATCTGCAAAAGTACCGGCTTTTAAATATTCATGCTTGTACATTAAGAGTTACTCCTTCAAAATCCTACAAGTGCGTTTCTATAATTTAACTCTGGACTTTTTGTTCGATTTAAGAGTTTGTCATAAAGTAACAGAGAATTTCCAAACAGCCAAACTCCAAAAATCTCCTCTAATAACTCGTCACTGGCTTTTGTGCGTGAAGTGTCAGCGGCGCGGCGATGAAGATCCCATTAAGGCGTGTGACTCTGTTCTTTAGCTGCCTCTTAAACTCGATCATTTCGCTCCGTCTGACACTCTCTGTCACTCTGAAGCCGCGCTGAGAGGCAAATGTCAGCTCAGGACAGACAAAAAAGGCGAGCTGTTATTACCGCAAAGAGTGAAAAGCTTCCTCAGATAAACTGACACAAAACTGTCTGTGAGTGCTGCTGCTGCTGCTGCCGCCGCCGCTGACATTATCAAAAGCTTTTCAGAAATGTGAAGAGGTCTGAAAAAAAAAGAGCCGAGAACAACAGCCGAATCAGAGGAAGCTGTAGAGGTCTGGAGTGACAGAAGGCTGAGAGCAGCAGATGTCAAGGATCAGCTGAAAGAGAGTCCAAATGTGAAAAATATCCTTTTCAACACGGCCGAGCAGCGGAGAGGCAATAATGAGCTGCAAACTTTTACACGGGGTTGAGAAACATGTTGGGATAAATAGGCGAGCAAAGGTCGAGGAGTTCTTCTGTCGGACCAAAGACTGTGCGTGAAAAATTGAGGGTTTTTTGGACGCACAAGAGCATTAAACCTGCATCTATAAGTGCTTTCTAAAACGGTGTGATTGTACAGAAGTCTATGAGACTGTGAAGTATTTCTGAATATTACAGGTGGAGATTTTTCACTCATCACAGAGAGTAAAGCTGTGGGCTGTAAAAGGATTTAAAGGAGTATTATAACAAAGATAAAGACGTAGTGAAGTCAATCAATCATTATTATAATTATAACCTAAGAGGCTTCAGAAGAGCTGATCTAGACTAGACTCTATATTAGGGCGGGGCGATAAACCCAAAATTTACAGATACCAAAATTTACAACAATAACCGACATCATTTTGCCCGTATCGTCATCTTCAGTGTCAAATAAATAAATCAGATAAGTAGAGACGTGACTCCGCCCCATCCAGTCTGTAACAAAGAAGGAAAGACAGGTGAGGAGATGGAGGACGGAGAGAAAGTTGGAGCGGCTGAAGTAAACGAAGTTAATGAGCAGCTCTTGGAGTGGTTATCGTCTATTTATCGTTATCGAGGTAGTTTCCCCGAGCTGTCTCGCTCTGGTGTGGGGGGGATATGACGTAGACATACGTCACACTGTTTGATGTAAATTTAGGTCATACAGGGTGGGAGATACGCCTGCGCTGTTTTCGGAGCTGGGAGAGAGTGCGACGTCTGCATCGCTACATACCGTCTCCTTGAAGGATGCAGATATTTTTAACTGGCAGCTGAACATTCGGGGACAGTTCGCTGCTCCATGACCAGTTTTTTTATTGTTTTTTTGGCGGCAAACATGATGGGAGGGAGCCAGAACCCGGGGATGTCAAAACCATCCTGCGCAAAACTGGCAGGGTATGAGCGGTAAGGGCTCACGACCAGAATACTGGAATCAGTACCGTGCTCGCTGCTCACTCCATCGTGAGATAGAGTGAGCAGCGAGCGGAGAGATCTGCTTGCTGCAGAGTAAGTAGATGATTTCACTTGTGCTTGTTGTGAACGCCCCATTAGACCGCTAACTTTTATATTATTAAACGTCTTTTTTCAATCAGTGTCACCGCCCCCTGCTGGCCATCAGACAGAGAACAGCCTGGTCCTCTTTGTTTACGCGGCCCGTGGAAAGGAGAGACTTGTAAGGCTTGTTGGACCGGAGTGACCCTGAAATGCTGAGTGTGGTCATTATTCTCCACTCGCCTCACAGCGAGAACTGCTCCTCTGGGGTTTGTCTGCATCTGCACTCTCAAGCTGCTGCTGCTGCTGCTACTTTCCATCTACTGCAGCGAAGGAGGAACAAATCTGACAAACAGTCACAACAATCAAAAACTCCCACATGATGGATTCTGCAGGATCTGACAGCCTGAAGACTGCGATTAATTTAACATTGATATTTAATAACTGAATCCTGTGACAGTCAGGATGCACACGCAGATGGAGAGAGAGGCCAACGTCTAGATCGTGTATCTTTGTTTGCACATCCATACATGGAGCTGCAGTCCTCTTAATGAAGCTCTATTGTCTGTTGTGGTGCCAGCTGTCCCGCTCAGATCTGCTGATTAAAGTCATTAATCTTGTCAAACAACATACCTGCAGATATCTCATTTCCTTAATGCTGCAGATGAAGTGTGTGCGACAGGCTCGGGATCCCTCTGAAGCCCTGATAAAGCTCTGTTAATTGACATGCTAATTGGATTCGTATCATGATTTCTGTATGATGAGTGCGGGGTGAGCCTATAGGAGGCAATTAACTTCAGTGATGGCGCAGAGACGACGACGACAGGAACAAAGAGGGACGAGTCTTTGTGCGCCTCTTTTCCATCTCAGTCTGTGAGGGCGGGTCGGTTAGTTTGACCTCAGATGTTCACACAGAGTCCGGAAACGTTCATCAGATGGAAAGTTTGTAGTTTAATCGTCACAGAACATTATTCTAGATCCCAAGATTTTAAACGCATGAAATAAATGAAGTGAAATTTCTGTTTGCGTCGCCTTTGGCGCCCCCTGTGGACAAAGACATCTCTGCCTAGGCTCGTTTACGCTCAGATCTCTAATTACAATCAAATGTGTCAGAAATAGTAGAAATCAGCCGCCTGATTGGTCCCTTCAGAGTCCTGAGCCAACAGTTTTTGCTCGCCTTGTCGACGGAGGGAACTGTGTGCGCGTTAAATTTACTGTTCTGGCTGCTGCGGTAAAAGGTCGACTTTGACCTCCTGACAGATTTGGTCTACACCGTCTTTTTTTAATCTATCCAAATCCCCTCCATAAATTTAAAGGGGCGTTTCTTTAACTTGTATTTGTATTTATTTATTTAGCACAGATTAAAAACAGAGCAAAGAGGGAACGAAGCCGATAGGCTGATACAAAGTTCTACTCCTGTCAGGGCAGAGAAGGCAGAAGGTGCAGACAGCTGAGTAACAGAGACAGGTTACACATGTACGATGATGAGGGAAAGGTCAAACAGATACAAACTGCCATAAATGGAACACAGACTAATCATCAAACAGAGATAAAGACAATAAAGTCATAAAAGGGAAAGAAACATGATCATAACAAATAATGATGTATTCAAGACGTGATCAGTTTAGATTTTAATGATATTTTAAAGGAGTTGATATTGATTTTAGAGATTCATCCAGATTTATCCACAGTTTCAGATCCTCTAAAAGTGATGCTGGACTGACACTTTCCCCCTCTCAGTAATTTCAGGCGTTAAAAATCACAACCTTGTAATAATCGATGGTCTTCTCTGCTTGTTTGTTTCATAAATTGACATTAATATGAGTTTTAGTTTGTTTCATAAAAGTGAGAAAGATTCACAGGAGCGTATTTTTAGCACATTTCCTTCATTTCCTTCGATACCCCAGGTCGGCCACCCCTATCCTAAAGTGTGGACACGCCCCTGTAGACCTCCAGTCATGTTTTGAACATCTCTATATTTTTCTTTTTTTCTCAAACGTTCTCTTCGAACACGTCTGCAGGCGGTTGAGAGTTGAAGAGGTGCCGCCTGTCAGAGTCGGAGCAGAAAAGCTGGTTAATGGGGCCCTGAGCTGCAGACCATGACAGGCTTCTTTCAGACTCTGGGTCCTGGAGTTCAGAGCTCTCAGTCCGGTCTCTGATCCTTGGCAGGGCTCCTAATGGTTCGTGTCTCTGTTGACTCTTTGTCTAACGGTTTAATTTCGCTCTCTGGGCCTTGTGGGGCCAAGCGTAGCTCTAAAGTAAGTTCTTTAATTGTTCCAGTAAATAAACATCTGATTGATTCTTTTCGCCGCTCCGTCTCATGACAGGCTGACGGGCAGACTTTGAAATAACGTCTTTGATTTATCCGCTCTTTGACACGGATCAATAGCAGTCATAAATAAAAGTATCTCAAACCTTACTCTGAGCACTTTGTTGACACCTTATGAATTTATGAATTCAGAAACACTGAGTGGGAGCTCGGCAGCATCTGAGCTGACAGTGTCCCTGTTTGCACTCTTCCTCTTCCTGCTCCTGCTGCTGCTCTGGTTTCTCTCTCTCTGTCCCGGTTTGATCCCAGTTTGACTCTTTCCTTCCAGTTTGTTTCGTCAACAGTAAAAAGTTGATTTGAAACTGATTCCCTCTGTTCACACCGTGCTCAGGTGAGGCTGAACAAACGCAGAAACAGCACTAACTCTGTGGCTCAACCCTCTGTGGTTTCTGTTTCGTTCTCAGACGATCGGCATGTGGTCAGGACAGACCCGAGGAGCGATCGGAGATGATGAGAGATGATGGTTTGGAGCATCATCATAACCACACCGCTATGAAGGCAAAACCCAGGAAGAGCATCACACTTTAACTTTGTGCCGCACTAAAACTTCAGGTTAATTATTAAAAGAGGAAACACGATATTTCTTTTAGTTCTGTAGGTGCAATATGTTCTTTCCTCCACAGATAGAGAAATTTTTAGACCTTATATAATTCCTCCTCACTCCTCACTAAAACGTCTCCGCCCGTTTGTATGGTGTGAAATACGATCCTCCTGAAACACAGAGTGTTTTATTTTGAAAAGAAGCCGGATGTTTTATTTTGTGTCTGTGTCCGACTTCCTTTTCAGCACGGGTTAATCTGTGCTGAATTTATCCGCCATGCTCCGGCGTTCAGAGAAATTCAGCACAGTTGCGATCAGCTAAGGAGTCCGGTGATCCACAGAGGAACGGAAAGAAGATGGTGGAAATTGACACGTTAACTTGAACGGTTACGATCAGCTACGATCGGAGGATTCGGCTTTTTTGTAACTGTCCCGGATGCGGTGGAAATTGGGGGTTTGTCTGAAAATCCAATAAAGAGCATCCATCAGACATGTTGGACATGTTGGGTCCCCAACTCTCACAGCAGAGTCCACGGTCTGTCGTGTTGTTTGGGCTGATTTCAGTGTAGGACTGTAGACCCCGGGGAGGACAGTTCTGGTATTTTTGTTTTGGTTTGTAAAGTGTCTGACTTTGACTTCTCCTGTTTCTCTTCATTACTGCAGGCTGTGGCTGGAGGGCGTGGCTGACCTACTTCCTGGTGGGGAACACCTGATGGCCCTCTGCAGTCGACTCACCTCTCCATAAAAACCGGCTCAGCCTCCACTCCTCTGCCAGGTAAGTCTGTCTCACTCTGTAGAGCCAAGTTACAGTTTCCTGGTGAAAGCCTTCTTTTAAATTCTGTGAACATTCACCCCGTCCTCCTGACCACCTTCTCTTTTGTTCCTTCTTCAGATCGGTGCCTCTGGTCTTCAGTTCGGTGTGGATTTTAAGCCTGTGGAGATTTTTGTAAGTAAGTGGATTTTCGTGTCTCCTGTGGGACAATAAAGACCTTTTTGAACTGCTTTTGAAGTCTCCTGCCTTTTTGAGTCCAGTCAAGCTACGGCAAAATCTCCTGCAAGGGTATAAGAAGAGGAGGAGGAAGGTGGGGTTGATGGAGGCTGAGCTTCACCAGCAGCAGAGGAGAGGAAGGAGAGGAAAGACGGGTTCAAATGGACCACCTCGTTTTAAAAATGGGTTTAAAGGTGATTGGACATAATCATTAATCAGCTGGTTTAAGCATGCAACTCTATAACCCATGAACTAATCCAGAGCTTCAGAATCAAATCTGTCCAAGAACAGGGACTTTATGAAGCCGATGCAGAATTTAAACCACTTTTCTTTTAATTCCTTTCATCACAATCGTCAGTTTAACATTTTTTTCCATTTGTTCAAATGGATTTTTGCCAAGACTGCCGTCCTAAACCGACATCCACCTTTGCAGATAACTTCCTCCTTTAGTTCCTCTGAAATGTTGTTGCAGTAGAAACACAATCTCTGCAGCTGGTGGAGGAATCCTGGTTCCTTCAGGCGAGGCAGGAAATTTAACACCTCCATCCTTTATTTTTAAAAAACGTTTTAAATTTCTAAAATCAGCTGCGGGCTCATTGATGAATCCCTTTTTTCATTTTTATAGTGAGAGGTACAACATGTAATCACGAGCCGGAGACACAGGGTAGGAAATTTCTCAGCTTCCTTAAAAACATAAAAACCTGCAGCTTTACCCCCTAAGAGGAGATGATGGGAGCTCAGATCCCCACTGGGAACCAGTCTGCGTGCTCATTAGGACTCTGACGCCTCGTTTAAAAGCGCTCATTAGAAGGTGTTTGGTGTTTTTGGAGTCCCCGACCAAACCTCAGAGCCATTACTCCATCATCAACCATCCTTTCCCTCCGCTGAGTCCCAGTTCACCCTCTCAGACCGGCGCAGGCTTCCCCTCTGCTCTTATGTCTTCATCACACGTACTTTTACATCTGGAGGAGCGTCTTCAGAGCCTGCTCCGTGTCTAATTCACATCCAGGGGATCAGAGCTCGGCTGTGTGATCATTTGAAGTGTCAGAAAAGTCTGTGAGGCCTCAAAGTCAATCCTGCATGCTGTTAAATCTGTCTGATAGCTTCTCTCTGCAGAGTCATGGCAGTAAAGTTTCAGCCCAATCATCCATCAGGCTGATGAGGAGTTAAAAAACGCCTTTGCATCCATCTGATAAGATAGGGATACGAAGATCTGCAGCTAATGATGGGAAACTTATGAAAATCTGATGCAAGCTCATGGTTGCACGCTTTGTGTGTGTTGTCTCTATACTTTTGGGAACTCACGTCAAACTGAAGACGAGTTAATTGGGGGCGGCTGGTGCGATTGAGCAGAAAAGCTGTGTCCCCGTTTGATAAAAAGCAGAGTTTTGGGTCAGCGGTTAGGGTTAGGGTGAGATGAGGGAAAGTCTAACTCTGAAACTGAAGTTGTAGCACACTGGTAAAGTTTTTGTTTACAGAGGAAAGTTGCTGTATGAACTGAATACTGCAGAAATGTAATTAAAGTTGGTATAACACTGCAAAAACTCAAATATTGGGTGGTGACTTTGTCTCATTTCTAATAAAAAAATAATAAATGTAAAAAGCACAGAATGGGTCAGGTTTATCATTCTCCTGAATTTGTCAGCATTTTTGAATGAAAACACATTAATCTTGTTTCTAGAGGCAACATGACTCTCAGCAGTGAGAGCTTCAGCCTGCTGGAAATAAATGAAATAAAGGCGATGTCCACATCTGGAAAACTTTGACATGTAAATTAACAACTCTGAGACATGTATAAAAGTTTAAGAGCCATCACACATTAAGGGACTAAAGCCCAACTTCAGGCTTTTTCGACTGTTTCTCTGCAACACCACAGGCCATGTGCTGCATCTCATGGATCGCAGGGAGCAATGCTGGCAAAGGTAAGAAAATAGTGTATGTAACAGTCGTGCTCAGATTATACCGTGACATTATTATCATGCTACTATGAAATTGTTATCATACTATACTATGATATTTTTAGTCATACTATACTGTGACATTTTTCAACATACTATACTATGACATTTTTTTAACAAACTATACTATGACATTTTTAACAGACTATACTATGATGTTTTTAGTCATACTATACAATGACACTTTTAGTCATACAATACTATGACATTTTAGTCATACTATACTATGACATTTTTAGTAAAACTATACTATCACATTTTTAGTCATACTATACTATGACATTTTTTAACTTATTTTACTATGACATTTTTAAAATGTCAAAATGTCTTAGTATAATATGACATTTTTCAGTCATATTATACTAAGACATTTTAAGTCATACTATACTGACATTATTATCATTATACTATGACATTTTTCAACATACTATACTATGACATTTTTAGTCAAACTATACTGACATTTTTTATACATACTATACTAAGACATTTTTTTTATCATACTATTCTATGATATTTTTAGTCATACTATATTATGACATTTCTAATAATACTGTACTATGACTTTTTTAACATGCTATACTAAGACGTTTTTGATGACAACAGTATGATATTTTTAGTCATACTATACTATGACATTTTTCAACTTACTATACTATGACATTTTAGTCATACTATACTATGATATTTTTGATAACAAGAACACTATATTTTAAGTCATACTTAACTATGACATTTTTAAACATACTATACTAATACATTTTTTAGTCATACTATACTAAGACATTTTTAGTCATACTATACTGACATTTTATGTCATACTACTTCAAGACATTTTAAGTCATACTATACTATGACATTTTTCAACATACTATACTATGACATTTTAGTCAAACTATACTGATATTTTTAACATACTATACTAAAACATTTTTTATTATACTATACTATGATATTTTTAGTCATACTATACTAAGACATTTTTAGTCATACTATACTGACATTTTTAGTCATACTATTCCAAGACATTTTTAGTCATACTATACTATGACATTTTTCAACATACTATACTATGACATTTTTAGTCAAACTATACTATGACATTTTAGTCATACTATACTATGATATTTTTTTAACATACTGTACTATGACACTTTTAGTCATACTGTACTATGACACTTTTAGTTATACTATACTATGACATTTTAGTCATACTATACTATGACATTTTTAGTAAAACTATACTATCACATTTTTAGTCATACTATACTATGACATTTTTTAACTTACTTTACTATGACATTTTTAAAATTACTATACTACATTTTTCAACATACTATACTTTGACATTTTAGTCAAACTATACTATGACATTTTAAGTCAAACTTTTTTGACTATGACTTTTTTTTATCATACTATTCTATGATATTTTTAGTCATACTATATTATGACATTTCTAGTAATACTGTACTATGACATTTTTTAACATACTATACTAAGACCTTTTTGATAACAACAACACTATATTTTAAGTCATACTATACTATGACATTTTTAAACATACTATACTATGACATTTTTAGTCAAACTATACTGACATTTTTTAACATACTATACTAAGACATTTTTTTTTTATCATACTATACTATGATATTTTTAGTCATACTATATTGTGACATTTCTAGTAATACTATACTATGACATTTTTTAACATGCTATACTAAGACGTTTTTGATGACAACAGTATGATATTTTTAGTCATACTATACTATGAAATTTTTCAACTTACTATACTATGACATTTTTAGTCATACTATATTATGACATTTTTAGTAATACTATACTATGACATTTTTTAACATACTATACTATGACATTTTTAGTCATACTATACTATGACATTTTTTATTATACTATACTGGCATTTTTTTTCCATACTTCACTATGACATTTTTATCACACTTTACTATGACTTTTATAACATTCTATACTTTGACGTTTATTAACATACTACACTATGACATTTTTATCATACTATACATTTCCTTTTTTTATCATATTATCTGCCTTTTTTCTCATGTCATACTTTCCATTTTTTTAACATACTATACTATGACATTTTTATCGTATTATATAATGGGATATTTTTCTAAAATCAAACTATATTTTTTCTTTTCTTTTGTCTTTGAACTGATAGACATTTTGCTTTGTGGAGAGGTGGTACTATTGTAGTGTGAATAGAGCTACAGAGATGTTCTCACTAGCTCTGCTGCTAGTGCACGGATTGCAGGACAGGACCCTTCTCCGTCTCAGTTGCCATTATTCTGGAGTGTGCACAGATTCAAGTGTGTAACACAGCAGGAAAAAAAGTAATTTACCTTTTTTGATTGTTATGTATCCGTGAAACTCAAAGCTAAAGATACAAAGGAATGTCAGACATTTAAAGTCAATCTAAAGACTTCTTAGTTCAGGTTTTTGTTATGCTTTGTGTGTCTTTATGTGTTATATGATAAGTCCTTTATGTGTGTGTCTGCACTCCTGCGGTTTGATTGGCACATGTCACACACGTCCGTCAGCGAGCACAAAGAAAGAGGAACATTTAAAGCGCGGTTATTCATGCCCTGCTGCTCTGTTTAATGTCTCGCTGAGATCTAATTACAGCCGCTCTGAACCTCGCTCCTCGCTTTTAATTAACACGCCCAAAAAAGGCAAATGGAGCAAAAATGTAAAATTAATTGAATGGAATTTGTAATTCAAAGAGAGAGAGAGAGAGAGAGAAAGAGAAGGAGAGGAGATCAAATACCAGTCTGTACTTTTAAGAGCTGGCTCCCGTGGGGTTTCCCACCCTGTGTTTCAAGGTTTGTGTGTTGTGGGTCCACAGAGGGGCCGCGGCCTCCATTTTCAGAACGGAGGCCTCAGAATTAAGCTTTTTATAGAGCCGAATAATGATGTGGGTTCTTGCTGGGAGAAATAGTCTTTTAATAAGTGAGGGCTGGCAGAGAGGGCCGCTCTCAAGGCTGAACAGTGTGGATTAATGCGGCGGGCAGGAATCATTTATAGACGAATCACTCAAGCTCACACACTATTGATTTCACCCAACGGGTCCACACACACACACACACACACACACACACACACACACACACACACACACACACACACACACACACACACTCAAACTTGTTTTTCCAAAGAAAGTTTCATTTCTCAGTGACTCTTTAGAGGATCGACCAGCGACAGAAACGTATTTAAACTCCTATAATAAACATTAAATTCAACTTTTATGACACAGTCATGAATAAATGAGACAAACCCAGAACTTCATGAGGACTGTGGGGAAGTTTTCTGACCAATATTGAACCGTTCGTCTTCTTCTGAGGAGCAGAAATGAATTCATTACAAAGTGAGAATCTACTGAAGAACCTGTAGAGGACCAGAGCTGTGCAACGAGTTCACACTAAAAACAAGTTCACGTGGATTTAAATCTACTGATTTTGTTTACTTTGGGCCTCCTGACCTTGAACTCTTCGCCCTCAATGATTGACATTTCCTAAACCAAATAAATCACCAACAGATATTCAGTTTCAAAGCCGAGAAAATACCTAAAATATGAAAAATCTGCAGCTTTAAACACCTGCAAACACACACAGTATTACTGGAGTTTATTTTCTGAATATTTGGCATAAATAGGTCAGAGAAATCTGCTTCAGGAAATGCACTGTGTGTATTCCTGAGTGTGAAAGAGCAGAAAAAACTTCAATTTCAAAAAGCGACACTTCTCTAAAACCTTCAGAGTTTTAACCCGTTAAAATGTGTCGAGATTTGGTCAGAATTGGTTTCTTCAGCAACACCAACAGAGTGCTTGGCAATTTCTCGAAGCTCTAATGCTTTTCAGGTCCTCCTGGGACACTAGCGGTCACTTAACGTCTGAAATTGGGGGTTAGAGATGGAGGAGCTCAGGTGGACAATCAGAGATGATGCAGCTGGAGTCAGGCAGGTCCACAGGAGCCAACTGTCTGCACCATCAGTCCAGAGGAACCTAAGAGACTCAGGGACACTCTGGTTATTAACTTAAATGGGACATAAAGATCTGAAGAAGAGAGGAGAGAGAGGGACGGACAGACAGGAGCTCAGAACCCCAGCAGTCTAAACCGACAGCAGCAGAA